TGAGAGGAAACGTTAAACTGCACAACTTTAGGGTTAGGAAAACATCCCAGATTTTTAGCATTATTCCATTTGGGAATTTATTAGTTATTTTAAAGCAAAACAGCAACGTGGACTTTTAACATATTTAATTCTTGTTATAACAAACAATTTGGCACAAAAATATTAAAAAATGATTCGATTCTGGTCATTGAGAGGAAACGTTAAACTGCACAACTTTAGGGTTAGGAAAACATCCCAGATTTTTAGTATTATTTCATAACTTTGACGACGAATTGGTGCTTGCTTTTAGTCAGTCGCCTCAGAAAGTCCTGTTTTCTATTATAATTCCAGGCTATAAATAAAGCCGTATTTTAAGGTGTAATCTCTGTTTAAAATCAAGGAAATACATTACTCTGAAATGCAAAGTTCCCAGAGGCCTAACGACTCACTTGTAGTTCTTCTCCATGTTATTGTAGGTGTCGGTGAACCATCGGCACTGCAGTCGATTCGAACAGACTTTCCTTCGGCAACTTCCGAGTTTTGTGGTTCCACGATCCAGCTAGGAGGCGCTATAAAAAATATTGCAAACTCCATCAATAGTTAATCATTATGCGTAAATATTAACATTTAAGATCAGTGAAATAAGAAATAATTCAATAGGCTCAATGAATCATACAAATGGTTGTTTTGCTAGAAAAAAGAATTGCGTGTAAAATACTTTAAAAACTAGCAATTTTCTGTTCTGAAACTCACATGTGTGCACGGTACAACCTGGCCAATGTATTCAATGAAGCAGTTGAGTGAATTAATGAAAAAAAGAGTTTTGCGAGAAATTGATTTGAAAAATAATTATTGAGAATTTTTCTTTTCGCAATTAAGAGGGGTATTTATCGTAACTATGTAATTCAATCACTGAAGAAAAGGTTCATCAAATAACGGACTTAATTGTATAAAACAACAACAACACGTAGATGTAACATTATGGGATGTAATCATGTGCATCAAAGGGCAAAGAAAAGCTTCAGGAAATAATGAGTCTAAGCTTTATTCGATATAAAGCAATTTAAGAAAATATAGCATAAAAGTGAAACATTATAACTGGTAACCATCAATGGACCAAGATAAAATTCACCAAATAACGAGTCTAAATGTACTCGATATCAAACAATAAAAAAATCTATGTGCAACATTATTATATGCAACCACGTACATCAATGGACCAAGAGAAAATTCACCAAATAACGAGTCTAAATGTACTCGATAACAAACAAAAAAAAACCTATGTGCAACATTGTAAGATGTAACCACGTACATCAATGGACCAAGAGAATATTCACTGCATAACGAGTCTAAGTATATTCGACACTAAATAATTTAGAATATATATATATGTAGCGTTATAAAAGGTAACCAT